AGGGAGTGCATTTTCTTCCTGAGCTATGAAGCTATGGGCTATGGTAGCCACTGTAGGTGCCACATCAGCTGGGCACTGCAGAGTTGCGCCCTCAACCCTCAATTCAATTGGCTGTAATATTGTTTTGACCAGTTGATTTTTTTATTTGGCTCCATATAGCTTTTGAGTTGCCCTGAGTATTTTCAATGATTGTGATAAAGAAGTCCGCTTTTGCTTTTCTCAGTTCCCTTGTTGCCTTGTTTCTTAGCCTTGCAAATATATGTCTGTCATGGGACATCTTTGATTTTATGGCAGTTTTTAAGGCACTGTCCCGCTCCTTCATTTCATTTCTGACATGTCCGTTCATCCAGGGGAGAGTCTGTTTCTGTTTTTTATGTTTTATAATGATTGAAAATTCATTGATTGTGGCCTGTAGTTTTCCCGTAAAGTTTTCAAGTACTAGATCTTCCCAATCTAAGTTTTGTATAGTAGATCTGAAGTCTTCTTGCTTGTTTCTTGGGATGCCAAAGGATTCTTTATTACCTGCATACGCAGTGAACCGTTTACCAGTTAGTTTTCTAGATACCAGCACCATATTGTGGTCTGACAGCCCTGTAACCATATTGTATGATTTTGTAATCCTTTCAGGTCTATTTGTTAAAATTAGGTCAATCTGGGTACTGGTGCTGTTTGTTATTCGTGTTGGGCCTTTAACGATTTGAGTCAAATTAAAACTTTCAGTAATTTGCTTAAGCTTCTTCCTTGACGACTTCTCAGTTCAAATTTAAGTCACCCATTATAATTACCTCTTTCTTAAAATCACATTGACATAAAACCTTCTTGAATTGATCATAGAAGCTAACATTTGAAGAAGGTGGTCGATAAATTACTATTAAAGTAAAGGACATCTGAGGCGACAGGATCATATTTAGGCCTACACATTCTACTGTAGATCGATTGGGTCTTGCCATTAAATCTCACTGCAACGGATGGTGTCTCTCACGAAAATTAGAACACCACCCCCCCCAGCTAGAAATGTTTGGTTCTAAAAACATTCTGAGAATGTTACAGTCATTGTTCTAGGAATGTTTTCAGAGGGAAGTTTTCTTTTGGTTCCCAGAACGTTCTTCTGAAAGGTAGGATAACGTTCTCTAAAAACATTCTTAAAATGTTTGGTGATAACCTTCTTAAAATGTTTTTGATTACATTGTTAGAACATTATGCCCTACTGTTCTTAAAATGTTTTCAGCTGCAAGTTAGATTCGTTTATGTTGCCAAAATGTTATTATTTTAGAGAAGGATAACATGCTTTATGTTTAAAACATTATGCAAATGTTCTGTTGTAACAATTTACTAAAATATGTTTACATTATTCGAACATAAAAACATAATATTCCTGTAATTGTTCAACTCAAAATTCCTGGGTAAGTGGACTGACCACTGTGGTCATTAGGATGATTATGATAGTTTGCAGTAGCAGTGGGAAACAGTTGTTCCAGGGTGGGTGGAGAGGCCTGGCTGGTCTTGGGAGTGTGGAAGGCCTTGGATTCCTCCTGGGAGAGACACAAAAATGAGTGTGAGGCAAAAGCAGGCAAAGTTGTCAAAGAATATGCTGGTAAAAAGGTAGAGCGGCACGCAACAAACCGTACACGGCAACAATCCGGCAGGGAATGAGTGCAGGCTGCAGGCTTTCATAGTGTGGCTGATGAGCAGGTTGCAGGTGTGGTTGATTGGAGATTGCTCCCAGCCGTGTAGAGCAGACCAGCAGGCAGGTGGGGGGGCACTAACCCACTAACAGGGAATTCAGGGACGGGCAGTGATAGTCGGTCCATTCTTCTATATGTCTGTCTTTGGTTTTCTAAGTGTTATTCGATCCATATGACCATAGAGATATGTGCATAAACAACAAAAACACTTGGGGTATAATGTTCGAACAATGTTATCACCAAACATTTTAAGAATGTTTTTAGAGAACGTTATCCTACCTTTCAGAAGTACATACTAGGAACCAAAATAAAACTTCTCGATGAAACCATTCCTAGAACAATGAATGGTAACATTCTCAGAATGTTTTTAGAACCAACAATGTCTAGCTGGGAACTCAGACATGCCTACGCAAATGTGCAATATCATGAATTACGTGCTTGTTTTTTTCTAAAAACGAAAATGTGGTGACATCAGATTTCTTTTAAACATCCTTTTCAAACAAATGCAGCAAGTTTGTTTTTTAAAGCGCACTACAAATAAATCTGACGTTGACCATGACCCTGTTAATATTTCGCAACACAGGAACATTTTATAAAAAGATAATAACCTCCTGAAAATATTATCCAAATGTTGCTTTCAAAATGTTCTTCTTTGGTTATCATGTAACATTGAGGGACCGTTTTATAAAGAACATCTTTAATGTGTTACCCAACAACGTCCAAAACACATCCTTAGAATGTTGCAGGCAAAACGTTCCACTTTTGTTGACAGATCACATTTTATAAAACACTTTGTCATCTCAGGCCTCAATAACATCCTGAAAACATTTTCAGAATGTTGCTTGGAGAATGTTCTTCATTTGTTATCATGTAACATTGAGGGAACGTTTTATAAAGAACATCTTTAATGTGTTACCCAACAACGTCCAAAACACATCCTTAGAATGTTGCAAGGAAAACGTTCCACCTTTGTTAACATATCACATTAAAGGAACATTTTATAAATAAACTTTCTGTCATCTTAGGCCTCAATAACATCCTCAAAACATCCTCTGAATGTTATGTCTTAGTTAACCTTAAACCTTATAGGAACATTATTTGAAAAAATAAACATCCTAAAAGGTTCTTTGAACATCAGATTAAAACCTTTCTTTAAAACCTTATTAGAACCAATAGGTAACGTTAGCCAAAGTTGTGAGAACGTTCCCCGCTAGCTGGGCTCTTTAGTATGCATTCGGTCCCTCCTGTAGCTATTATAACCCGGAAGTTGTACGGCAGCAGATGGAGAGTTGGAGAGGAGCGGGATGGGCTCTCTTTGGCCGTTTCTCAATCGCGAGGATGCTGGCTTGGTAGTCGCGTACTTCCAAGTCACTTCCTTCAGAAACGAAGCAAGTATGCTTCCAAGCCACGGCTTCGGAAAACGAAGAAGAATGGAACAGGCTAACAAGTGTGCCACTCTCTCTAACGGTTTCAACATAAACTGTACCAAAAATAAATACCTCACGATGTCTATCTAATTATGAACTTGCTTTACTTTCACGGAACACATTTATGGTGATAACAAATTTAACAAAGTAACACATTTACCAACACTACACATGTTCTACGCCACTACATACTTACATTTAAATGTGTGCTGCGTCGGTTCAGTCATTCTCCGCCAGGGTTTTTGAAATTGGTCCGTGCGCAAAGCATTGTGGGGATTTTAAGGACGCGAAGTCTACCCATATGCAGCCTCGAAATTTCCCCCAAACCAAGGACGCGGCCTCGGTGGAATTCCAAGTATGCTGGAGATTGGAACAGTAATTCGGCGGCACTCGATGACGTAGCAGCCTTGAAATATTGGCTTGGAAGCCAGTATCCTCGAGATTGAGAAACGGCCTTTGTGTGTTGTTTGTTTATCCGTGCGTGGTGGAGACCCTCACATTGCTCAGTACCTAGAGGAGTTGGAGCAGAGTCCCCAGAGGGCTGTTTAAGGGAAACCTGGTGTGCGTGTGTCAGGTAGCGTTTTCACATTTTATTTTATTACAGTCACAGTTACAAATCCTGCTGAGCCACGGCAACAGTAGCATACATTGGAAATTGTGTTTTTGGCTACCTGGCAAATGTAAGTAATATGAAGCAGTAAAGTCAGAGGCCCAAAACATGAATGCTAAAAGCTTTGTAAAGATCAGAAAAATATATATTAAATATAAATGCATTAATTGATCAAATGTGACATAAATTGGTATTTATGTTTTAATGTTCTTCGTCTGAATTTAACATAACATGCGTATACAATCATTAATTGTTTATTTACTTTCCTACTTATTTACATTTGATTGTCATTTAAATGTGTGGACATTTTGAGTACATAGACCAACAATCCATGCCTAGGCCCCCACGCCAGGCTCACTACAGACACTGTAATATTTGGTAGAAGTTGAAGGATAAAGATGACTTTTGATAACATCTAGTAGAATTCGAGGTTACATTACAAGTAAATTAAAGGGGAGCAAAGATTTAATATATGTTTTGTGTAATGCTTGAGTTTATAATGACCTTGGGTAATAATTTTACCGCTCCATTATTTACTGTTGAGAAGGTGTTATCAAGTATGGGCTGCATGAATATTGCCACACACCTCATATTGTGCATCCATTATGAAACTTTCTTGCCACTGCCTGTCTGATGATCTATAAGCTCGGTGTTGTTTAAATTTGAACTCAGACTCGTGCATCCAGAAATAACCACACCAGCAGCAGTGGTACAACTCTGAGTGGTGTGTTCTTATGTAAATACATACCCAGTGCAGTGTTTCTGTTCTCACTGCAGGAACTCATTTTCCTATCTGACAAAGATAGGAAAGAAAAGGTATTGTTGGGTAAGTACACTGCTAAGACTTGGTCGTGGTTTCCTGGCAGAGCAGTGGCGGGGCTGTAGCTGCTGCTCTGCATGCTGCCGAGTCAGCGGCACTGATTTCTGTGTTGGTTAACGGACACCTGACACAGTCTCCGTTTCACAGCCAACAATTACTGCCAGATTCATTATAATGTAATGCAAATAGCTTGTTATTAATTTCTCACAGGACAATCTAATTAATCATTCTCAGTCACTAAGAGCTAATTAAGTCTGGTGGATCATCACCGGCCTAGAATAATTACAGGAGCTTCAGCTGCAGAGTGGCTGTTTTCATGGAGGGTCAATTTGTCTCTGTTAAATGTTGGTATGAGAAAAACAGCCTCTATGTTTGTGCCCACAGTATTTAAACACATTATTGTTTATTCTAATGGAATATTCTGCCGTGTTCTGACGAGGATTCCCCTCTTTTTACAGGCAAATCACAATTGAGGAAGGTGAACAGAGGGCTAAAGATCTGAGCGTCATGTTCATAGAGACCAGCGCCAAGACGGGTTACAACGTCAAACAGGTGAATTCGGGGGAACATCGATCAGCGTTTACATGCATCCTCATTTATTTTCTAGTTCTATTGCACTTTGTCACATTTTTCTTTTATCAATACACCAACTCTTACAAATCAGCAAACTGTGACATTTCTGATATAAAGTTAACACAAAAAGTCATAAAATGTGTGTTAGGTAGATTATTACTTTGTTGTATCGATGCTTCTTGGCCATAAGTCTTATACCGTTGGAAAGCCTGTATTCTTACCTTTCAAATGGTGTCACATTCATGAAGAACATGCATTTGTGGGATGAGCAGCAGAGCTGAGTATGTGAGATTTGTCCATGAAAAATATGACAAATCTCCTCTGCCAATGCCAAACAGCAGCCATTCTCCGGTCTCGTACGGCCGCCAGGAGCCTGCCATGACTGCCCTTCACCGTCAGGCCCACTTGCACTGGAACCTCAACATGTGGAGCAACATTATGTTCAGCGATGAGACCAGATTCTGCCTACGGCACATGGATTGTAGGGTCACAGTGTGGAGAAGACGCAGAGAACACTTTGCACCCCACATACTCAGCTCTGCTGCTCATCCCACAAATGCTTGTTCCTCACAAATGTGGCACCATTTGAAAGGTAAGAAAACAGGCTTTCCAATGGTATAAGATGTATTGCCAAGAAGCATTGATACAACAAAGAAATAATCTACCAACACAAATGTCCTTACTTTTTGTGTTTATTTCCAGGTTTACTAATTGTTGATGTTTTCTCTCAGGGTTTCCTTTATGCACATAGACACGTGCTGCTTATTTTGTAAGAAACTGCTTATTGTGTGCAACTATGTGTAAATACACAGGATACACATGAAACCCATTCATCAAAGCATTGCTCCATATCGTCGGGTTACGTATTGTAACCCTTGTTAAATTTGCACAGGCGGAGCCCTCTACTGGACTCTATGGGTACTACCTTATCATGCAAGCATTCACCTACTGAGATTTCTATGGACGTAGCCGGCCCCGGGGCGGGCCTACCTGAATGTGTGCGCATCTCACTTCCGTATAAAAGGAGGCCTCGCCTCCTGACCACCATCCTACACCACTCTTCAGCTAGCGGTATAGGACAGACAGTGCCCCAAGGTAGAGGGCTCCGCCTGTGCTAATATAACAAGGGTTACAATACGTAACCCAACGTTATATCTCTCACAGGCTCCGCCCTCTACTGGACTCCATGGGTACAGTGGGCGGAGCCCCAATGTATGCACGCACTGTCGTCCAGCACACCGTTCCACCTCACTGTCCCTGACCGGCTTTAGCAGCCACTGCGCCTCACTCACCTCTCCCTCGGTTGTAACCGTGGAGAAGTCTGGGCAGCGGCCGATAGAGTACACCCTGACGCGCTTGCCTCGCGAAAAAAAGTGTGCTCGAAAAAAACAGTGCTGAGGGCTCCCCTGCGTCCGCCTATAGGCAGACAGGGAAAAAACCCTAGCCCTGTATGGGTTCACTATGCACTCTCCCTCCTGAGTCCCTAAAGAGCACGGGGAGAATGCAAGTGCCCCCTATGTCCCCACACTCAAACACTGACCCTGTGCAGAGTGTGTAGGGACTATAGTATGGAGGGCTCTCCCACTCCTGCCCCCAGGCAAGCGAGGGGAGCCCTACAGCCCTGAAAAGGGCCCAGAGCATCCCACGTCCCCCGCGACCCTCCAGGGGTCCAGAGAAACGTAAGGGCATTTTACGCCCGGGGAGAGGGTCAGATGCCCACTGACCAACAGCCCCCCCCCTCCTCACCAGTCCTGTGTTGCCCCAGCAAGCACAGACATTGAGAAAGAGCCAGACATATCCAAGAGATAACACTTTATGAAGGGGCCTGGTGTTGACCAAGACGCCGCCGTGCATATCCTCCACACTCACACCGTTGAATAAATCTGTCGACGCAGCCACAGCTCGTGTGGAGTGCGCACGGACCCCCGTGGGACAGGCTCTCCCTGCCTGCTCGTAGGCGTGTGCAATGCCTTCGCAAAGCCAGCCTGCCAGGCGTTTCTTGGACAGAGCTTTTCCAGTCTCCCCGCCCCCGAAGCACACAAACAACTGTTCAGTGCGTCTCAGGGTAGTTGTGCGCTCTACATAACATGCTAACGCGCGCACCGGGCAGAGGAGGTGTAATTTAGCTTCCCTGGCCCCACCATGGAGTGGAAGACTAAATCCCCCCCAACTGAATAACCCTCGACCTGAACGCACTCCTCAGGTTCTTAGGCACAAAGGAGGGGTTCGGTCTGAGTGTCGCGCCGCTCCAGTCACCCCGAATCAGTAAACAGCTCGGGTGCACCGACAGAGCGGTTAACTCGGACACTCTTTTGGCTGACGTTAAGGCAAGTAGCAACGCTGTCTTCCACGACAGTGCTTTCAGAGAGGAGAGCTCCAGAGGCTCAAATGGTTCTGTGACCAAAGCCTCGAGCACCAGCGGCAGGTCCCACTGTGGGGTGGAGGCGTACACTACTGGGCGCAGCCTCCTGACCCCCTGTGAAAACCGCAACATCAGTGGATGAGAAAAGGCTGACCTGCCATTGAATCCCTCATGACAGGACTAGATGGCTGCTGCATACACTTTTATAGTAGAATGAGCAAGTCCTCTGTCCACCAATAACTGTAAGAAGGACAAAATAGAGCCTAACTCACAAGATAGGGGCTCTATTTTCCGCTCCTCACACCATCGCTGGAATCCCAGCCACTTCGGCCTGTAACAGGCTGTGGTGGATCCCGCTCTAGCTGCCTGGATAGACTGAATAACGCTATCAGACAATCCACCCTGTCTCAGCCTGTCCCTCTCAGGAGCCAAGCCTGGAGAGAACGGCCCAGAGTGGGTAACGCCCCGATTGCACCTGCCTCTTGAGACATCGCCCCCCAGAACTGGGGAATTGCCCAGGGCTGGCCCACCTTCATCTGTGTCATCTCTGAGTACCATGGCGCCCCAACGCGATCCGGAGCCACTAGGATGACTGACAGACGTTCTTGCCTCACTCTCCCCAGGAGAGGGAGAATGAGACGCAACGGTGGAAAGGCGTATAGCAGCTTCCTTGGCCATGGCTCGTGTGCAAACGCGTCCACCCCCAAAGGCGGGTCGTCGCTCAGGGCCATGGAAAACCACAGGGCACAGTGGCCGTTGCGCTGGCTGGCGAACAGATCCACTTCCGCTCTCCCGAACTGGGCCCAGATTGCACCCACTCGCCTGGCAGGGGGCCGCCCCTCAACATGAGGTCGGCTCCCCTGTCCTCCAGTCCCGGGATATGGAGGGCTCTCAGAGATAACACCACCTCTGATGCCCACAACCACAGCCTCTCCGCTGTGGCCAACAAGGCGGCGGAGCGGACTCCGCCCTGCCTGTTGATATAAGCCACTGTGGTGCTGTTGTCGCTCCTGACCAATACATGTCTCCCTTGAATTAGGGGCATGAAATGCTGGAAGACTAACACTGCCGCCCGTAGCTCGAGGAGGTTGCTGTGTCGTGTTTCCGTTAGAGACCAGCGCCCACCTATAGCCCTCTTCAGGCAGGTCCCTCCCCATCCTGTTCCCGTGAACACTGTGATGTAGGAGGTTACCCGTCCCAGTGGAGACCCCCTCCGGAGGCGCCCGGGAGACCCCCAGAACCGGAGGTTGCCCTCCACTGAGGGGGGGGATGGTCACCAGCCGCTGTTTGTGCCTCTTGGGATCCAAACGCAGGCTGGAGAACCACCTCTGCAGGCGGCGCATATGCAGTAACCCCTGCGGGACCACAATGTGAGCAGCCGCCATGGGACTCAAAGTCTGCATGACAGTTAAAGCTGTCACTGTCGCCCCCTGTCGCAGCCTGTGAACCGCCCGGAGAAGGGACGCACTTCTGCTCCCCGACAGGGTGGCGCGTAGCGCGCCTGCATCGAACACCACTCCCAACTACAACGCCTGTTGGTGAGGTATGGGGGTGCTCTTTTTTCAATTGATCGCAAAGCCTAATTCGGTTAGGTGTGTGATCAATTGTGCTGTGCAAAGCATTGACTGTTCCCTGGACCCGGCCATGACTATGAGGTCGTCTGGGTAAAAGAAAAACTCTCATGCCGTGGGCGCGCAGCGGTTAAAGCGCAGTGGCCATACATTTACTGAACGTGCGTGGGGATAGGGAGTAGCCGAACGGTAATCTGTTGTACTCGTAGGCTATCCCCTGGAAGGCAAAACGCAGACACTTTCTGTGCTCCGGAGCAATTTCCACATGAAAGTATGTGTCTTTCAGGTCGATGGTGGTCAACCAATCGCCCGGTTTGCACAAGCCCCATTAACTGTTTTTATAGTTAACATGCAGAATTTTCTGCAGTCAATGTAGCGATGTCTTCCTGAGAACCAGGAAGTACATGGAATAAAGACCATTTTCTCTGTGCTGAGGGTGCACAACAGACACAGCCTGTTTCTGCACCAGAGCCTGAATCTCTGCTGAGGAAACCAATCTCCTCCTGGGAAGACAGATTTCCTCTCGCATGCCCATAAAAGGAGGTGGGATGCTGCAAAACTGGAGTGAATAGCCCCGTTTCAGCGTCCTGTCCATCCACTTTGTTAGTACACAGCTGAGTTTCAATTCCCCATAACATTGTGTTCATGGAAAGCCCTCAGCTGTGGGGCCGCAGCTACTGTGGTACTCTCTGGTGACCCGTTCCGCCGCAAAACTCCCCGTGAAGGGAAGATTTGCCCATGGAGGGTCGACGCAGAAAGGGCCGATTATTTACTGAGGTCCCTGAACGCACCGCCGCGCGCTTCACCATAATGCTGTTTTTACCACTACGGTAAACAGCATTTAATCGGAGTCTTTATAGGCGTTGTGTGTTCTACTGAGGTTCCTGAACGCACCGCCACGCGCTCTTGTGTGAGTGCGGGCTCCGCCATAATGCAGCCTTTACCACTATGGAAAACTGTATTAATTGGAGTCTTTGCTCTAGGCGTAGTGTGTTCTCTGACAGCAATACGCCGGCCATAATGTCCCTGCACCCGCATAGCGCTCT